TTTTTTTAACACGACCATATTTAAGTTCTTTTGTATTCAACATTTTATCTCGCGTTCACGCTTTTCCCGTGAATATCTCGATTAGAAGTCAGTCGAAATACCAATTTAAATACCTACCCCATCATTTGGTCTTCAAAGTTCAAATATGTACATAACAAACTTAGCATGGGGCCTCGGCGAAGGTCATTTACTGTTTGATTACAAATACCCAATATTCTACAAGCTCTGAATCTGTTCTTAGAAATCTTACCCCGCATTAAAACATTTAATAAACTGTTAACCGTCACTTTTATCAGGGGGAACAGTTTTCGCTAAAATGTTATTATTATTTTCCGCTAATATAACAGTAATATAATATAATATAAACCCCTAACAAAACAATATATATATTATGTAATATACATGTATGTGTGTGTGTGTGTATGCTCAAATGGTGAGCGTAATGACATAACAAATAACAATAATAATTTAAAATGTTTTAAAATATGAAACTATCCGAATGCTTGCAGAATTATATAAGGTGTATAATATTTTAATTTATACGCATTCGCACTATATACAGGTACCCCCTGGGGGTACGGCGTATATTATAATTTATAAAACAATACGATATTATGTGTAGCGGCCAGCGATAGAAGAATAATTTTTTATATTATTATAATACGTACAGAGTGTCGTGTGAAATTGTGTGCGTATATATTATTATGATATTCATAATACGGTCCCTAAAGTATTGTTATCCCGGGCGCATTAAAATAATATTATTATGAAATAGCTAGCGGGACTGCGGGAAGAACGACCGGCTGCTGTTGCCTTGAACGCCTTTCCGCGAAAAACCCACCCCCTTCTGCAGCATAGATTTTATAGGTCACGCGGTATCTGCGTGTATCAACTGTCGACAACCGCAGCACAATATTTCGACAATCATTATAATATTATTCTAATACCGTATTTACATAGGTACCTAAATATTATATTATATTATTATAATAAGGTTATATAATCTTGTGCATTTGTAACGCTTGATAGATTATTATAATAATTATTATATAGGTAGTTGAAATGTTTGTACACCGAATACAAATCTGGTGTCGGTCATTAATATGATTTCCTCAATTATTCAAACTATATTGCACTTGTAAAGTTGTAACAATTATAATGTATGGATAATACGCATTGAAACGTAAATCATGATAAATTATGTGCGGATAACAAACCGGCAGATTTGAGAACAACGGAATTCGTAATAACGATATGATGATGAATGATATGAGTGGATTTATTGACCGAATCGAATAAAAGCAATTTTAGTAACAGCTTGACGAAATATTTTTATAGGTTTTAACGGTACGTCTCGTCGTCGGTACCTACCTATATAATATTATACTCGGCCACGCCGCAACAATATAATGCTATAATTTTATTATTTTAAACGAAAAACTTTTAAGTTTGTTTACTAGGTATATATAATATTATGGGTTCCTTATTGGATAATAAAATCGCAGGCGTCGCAAAGTTTTTATACCTATTTAATACATTTTAGTAGGTATTATTATTGACAATTATTTATGTACATAATATTATCGTGGTTTACGAATGGAAACATAATGAAATGAAATGCAAACATGCTATTAATCTAATATTTTGACCAATGTCTAAATCAATAAAACATAAAATTAACGTCATATATTAATTATATACAACAATACACCATGTTATATATTATGTAGGTAAATGCAATTATTTAAATTATTACTTATTCGTAACACCTAGCAATCAGCACGGTTAGTAGATAATAATTTTTTTTTTTTAATAAATTACTTTGTCATAGGTACTGTAAATGTATTGTTTAGTAAAAAATGTTGTTATTCAACTCAATTCGCCAATCGTGATACAACTATATAGAAACTATTTTGCCTTATATTGCACCTATTATTATTAATTTATCCGATTTTGAATATAATTGAGTTTACCTGAAATATTAACTATATGTACAAAGTAAATTATTATAGTGTCTTAAATTGTATCGAACATTATCTATTATTGGATGAACATCAATAACAGTACCTATGTCAGTCACACAGGCACAGGTTTATTTTGTTACAGCGGCGGACACTCATATTATATTATCAGGTTTCTTTTGTATATATTATTTTTAAGTAGTACTTTTTTAGTAGTTTAGTACTGTACACCTAAAAAAATCCTATTGTAAATTGTGTATAATCTGAGTACCTAACGGTTCATTTAATGTACAATAGTTTTACTATATAGGTAAACAATAAGTTTTTTTTTATGCTTAACTTTTTAAAAGGTGACTTATATATTATTTTTAATTTTATAAATTAAAACAAAATATTTTTCGGAATATTTTGATTTATTTATTGAGAATATTGAATTTATAAGCATTTAAAGATTAGAGAAGTATAGTGTGACTGCAGACTACTGGGGAATGGACAATACATGATAATTCTCCCCTTCTCTAAACTTGAAATGCTTTTATTATTATAATTGTTTTTTTTTGTACAATTACAACAATAATATATAACAATTATTCAGGTATACATATTATAAATTTAAATTAAAGATTATTTGTCAATACTTTCAAAGTTATTAGTTACACATTATATATTACTTACACACTTATTATATTGTCTATTACACTGACTATAATTAAATACTACAGCACACTTTCGAATAGTGATTAGTTGTCTTAACTTATTTTGTAAATGGTATTGTTCGCTTCACCTGTTACAATTTAAAATAACATATCGTTTAAGATAATAACACATTTTAATATTAATAACTAATAAGTAGTTTAATATCTATACAATATTTGATAAAGAACATTAATCCAAAATATAATCCACATTCTACGATATTATAATATGTTTAGGTAGGTGCAAGGTACCTACTAAATAATTTCACCGTTAATTTGAAGACAACTTGTGAATATAATTTAATATTTATAAAAGCATATTATAATTAAATATAATCATACTTGTATCTAATTCGTATATACTATTGCGTGTGTATACCTACTTAAATGTTTTACACTGTAGCAATGTATATATTGGTATGATAAATAATATATATTATGCCCCAACCATCATACTATCGTAAAATATCGAAATTCCCAATATAGTACTAAAGACTATATTATAATAGATAGGTATTGAAAGCTACCTTCCTACCTGGCAACGTCAACTTTTCACCTTGCGAAGGGCTTCTTATAATATGTAGTTATGTACAGTATGTCCGTCTAGCCACGTGTATAAACGAATATATATTAATAACATTTCACAATCAATGGCTTATGGCTATGTGTATATATTATATAAGTAGATACCTCCGTAGAATATTTATTCAATTCATAAAAGTTATTCTTCAAAAATAATATTTTACAAATATGCGAATAAGATAATTAAGATTGAGTTAATCATTTTTTTGTATTGTAATAATAATATTATATATTATTAAAATACAATTATACCTATTTATAACTTTTTTATACATAATATGGATCATCTCATGAATTGTATTTAAGTATATTGATATCCAATTATGATATAAGTATAGTAAAATTCATTGAATATTCTCTAAGACCAGTGGCGTACGCAGGATTATTCAATGGGAGGGGCTTGATAATTAATTACAATTTTATTTTTATTTTGTCCTGTCTAATAATTGCAGACTTTTAGGTGAGGTATTTGAAAATGTTTGTACAGCTTCAACTTCTCGACTTGAACGTACTTGACGTAGAAAAAATGCTCTGACTATAAACTTCAAAGGCAGATTTTGGAAGCAAATTGGATTTAGTAAAGATAGTACTTTTGGGAGGTCGACATTGAAAATGCTCAGTATTTTTTAAAGTAATCAGGAAAAATGAAAATAAATGAAAATTTGTTAAAACTGTTTGGTGCCTAACCCTAATTATACCGTCTTCACTTGGATTGCATTTGATTAATTTTAGTTTTTTTTTCTAAAACTTTCAATAAATAATTATTTGTTTTGTCAAAAATCTTAAATATTTAATACAAGGTTCATCATAAGTTTTTACTATAGCTAATTAAAAATATTAACAATACATATAGGCAAGATTATTTTTTATAAGCATTTAAAGTTCAAATTTTGACAAAACCACAATTAATTTGTAGTTCAAAATGTATAAAATATTAAATTCGTATAGCTAAGAATTGGAAAAAGTAATAATAATAAGAGCAATGGGGGGGCTTCAGTCCGTTAGCCCCCCTCCCATAGCGTACGCCACTGTCTAAGACTGATCCTAGTTAATGATATGTAATTCAATACGAGCTATAAAAACGTACCTATATGACATGTGATATAGAATATTATAGATAAAGGTATAGATTATTTGCGAATTCAACTAAATTAGAAAGTTCAGCAATTATATAATTGAATAATGCTTAAAATAATTACAATTAGTTACGTTACATTGTGTAAAAGCACTTGATGCATAATATACCTATGTATAGTGTATATAATCTATACAAGTAGGTATCAGAGTTTGTGAACATAACTATCCAGTCTGATATTGGGTTACAGTTATGCAAAATATGGTTAAAATTTCAAAACTGATATCAGTAAAAGCGTAAAAGTTTAAAGTTGACTTTATTCGGGCGAGCCAAACACACACACCAACGTGGAATGCATTAAGGTTCAACTTTGGTGCCCTCTCATAGTCTCATGAATAAAACTCCCAAAAAAACTATCTATAGTAAATACTAAAAATTATACCTAATCGTCTACTTTTACTGTTTTACCACTATACATTGTTTAAACTTTAAAGTATCATTGCACAATAGTACAATTTTATAATATTATTATTTGTAACAAAACAATAATATTCTGCGAATAAATAAATGATACAATATATTCAAATTATTAATTTAATCATATTTATCTTAAGATTTTTTTCATTATGTTCTTATTTTTAATATATTTCCATTACAATTTACAGGGAAGTTTGCATTACTACCCACATGTACTATCAATTACGACGAGGTAGTAAACAGAAAAAAAGTCCTATAAGAATATCATTTAAAAAATATTCGAAGATATGGAGACTGATTAGTGCAAGTTTTATGAAAACAATAAATTTTGCAATTAGCTTTCCGATAGTTGTATTATTATTGGTTATCATACCAATCACTCTTGTGTTCAAATGGATCGTGTCTTTGGCTCATCGAATTGCTTGTCTAGGCGGTACGTGCATATATGATATATAGATTTTAAACTCTCAAATACTTTTAATATTTTGTCTAGAAAGTGCTAATACATAAACATTCGGTGGCAATGTCAAGCAGTTACGGTTAGGTTTTGTTTTTCTACAAAAAAAAAAAAAAATCAATATTGTCAAAAATTTGTTTACTTTTGATTTTCTATCAGAAACCACCCTCTAATTTTAAAACCGAAACATTTTTACTCTTCCAAACGGTGATGATGGACAGGAAATTTTTTCAAAAAATACACATTGTAAAATCAATACATTCATTGGTACAATATACAATTAATATATACAATATATTAATTAAGAAATGTACAATTAATCAGATTTAACAATTAAATAATATTACATCTCTATCGAACATATACCTATTGAATTTAATTTTGAATTTAGCTCATTTATAAATTATTATCTGTAATAACTTTACTTTATATTAATTATTATTAGGTATGGTAAAGTTAACGCTGAAGGATTGAACTTGAAAATATCTAACTCCTTATTATACCAGTTTTAGGAAACGTAATGACAAACGACGAGATTCGTTGGTTGGGTTGTTCTTGGCGTCATTCTACTGTGTTCGCAATTTTCATTCTTGACAATGAAATGGAATTGCAATTTTTACAACAGCTCGTCGTTAACAAAGTACTACCGCAATGTCCACGATTAACTGAAAAACCGGTGGTGTTGACAAATTTATTTGGGAATTCGCATTGTTGGATGTCTGATCATAATTCATTCGATATTAACCAACATGTATTCAAATCACGTGAAACCACAATGGAAAAACACGAGCTACAGGTAATACATATTAATATTTAATCGTTATTATATAATAAATTTGGTATTAAAATGATATCAGTAGGTACACATAATGTACCTGCAATTATACTTATCGACTGTCACCGCTATGTAATTTGTCTTTTACGCTGCGGGACACAAGTTTCTGTAGTTTTCTCATTATGTTATTTATTGTTCATGGACCATGATTGGTTTTTCGAATGTCATTAAAAAAAAAAACATAGGTAATGAATGGATCTAGGGAAAAAATATCCCCAAAGCAATACCTAACCGTACTGTTGGGTACAACATTAATAGTAATAAAAATATATAACATTTGAATGATAATTATTATATTATTATAATATTAATAAATAGGTACATATTATATTATATGATATTGCTATATACATATTTATTTATTTATGAAAATTAAATATAATATAAATTAAAATTTCTGATTCTGAGCGGAGACGGTTTGTCAGTCTGGATATTTTATATTGTTATTATTTATTATAATATCATGTAAGTTAAATTAATATTATAATATTTATATTTTTTATTCGTTTCGATGTTGATAACCAATTTAAAATCCCATTTTTAGAGGTTTGTCGTAATATTTGGTGGTTTTTTCTGTGGCATTAAATAACTATTGATAAAATCGAAAAATGACCCCTCTAAAGTACCATCTTGATCCAATTTGCTAAAAGATAAGGCACTATATGTTGAAATCGAAGTACTCCTTCTGGTAGACATTTTGTATACAGGATATAAAAAATAAACACCATTGTAAAACCACTAGCTTCCTCGCTCCGCTCAGAATCTAAAAAAAAGAATATATTTTACGATGTTCAATTATACATAAGTATTTGCTTTGGGGATTTTGGATTTTATTTAAGGGGATTTTTTTTCCGATTACTTAATGAATACCTGAAAAAAAATTATATTTCCTGAGCAACAATGTTTTTTTTTTATATTAAAAAAAATGTTGTACTTGCGTACCTACATTATTTATTAATAGTTGTTATATAAAATGTATAGAGGTATATTGGGCAATTAGTTTCTGGTGGTTTACCAATAGACAAACCACCTTGGGAATTGCATTTGTTGTCTCAATGTGACGAAGCGATGCCAGGAAAACGAGATGCAGTGGTTGTATTTCTCGCTCACCGGTGTCTAGCAGATTGGATATCTTTGGCTAAATTATTGTGCACTTGTTTGTCAGATACCAAACCATACTACCATACTTCAGAAGTAAAAACCTAATGTACCTATTAACTTTCGTAATTCGATGACGGAGATTAAAATATAAACAATGACGTTTCAGAATCCAACAAAAATGCGATATTGGACAAGCGTAGCAAGAACTGTGATGACTGGACCTGCAGAAATTTTATGGAAAATGATTACCCCAATCAATGATGACAATATAGTGACTTCGGATCCCCTAACTTTAAACTATAACATTAGTTGGTCTTGTTTTCAAGGGGCTCTATCAAAAGTTAACCGAATTAACCAAGTGACTAAAACTCCTAACAGTTATGTAGTTTTGTCTGCAATTGCTGGATCGTTGCATGTTATGATGAAAGTTGGACTGCAGCAACTGGACGACATGAATGTATTGAAATATTTTACAATACACATATAACTATTGCTATTTAAAGTTAATTTATTTTTTCCTTTATAGATTGTTTACCCTGTGCAAACTGGGAATACCGACCACTCGGCACCAGTTTTAATTCGTTTACCAATAGGCATTGAAGGTGCCATCCCAAGATTGTGGTTTACCAAGAAAGCAATGCAAAATATGTATCGTTCGGATCAAGCTTTATTGCCAGCAATAGTTTCTTTATTAATGCCACTCCACTCTTCGGGAACCAGAACACTGTTATCTGGGCTCACTGACAATTTGGTAAAAACATAATACTTAACTATAAAGATGCTATGAATGTTCTAATGTGCTAAAAACTGATTTAATGTGAAAATTAAAAACAAATATATTATTTTTTAAGGCTTGTCTACAGTTTAGTTGGGTATCTGGCCCAAGGTCAAGAATTATAATCAAAGGGTCTCCACTAAAAACAGTTTACTCTATACTGCCGTCTCAACAAACTATTGGTGTTTCAGTCTCGGTGTTTACATACACAGATGATATATTTATTAGTGTAAGTGCAGATAGTGCGATTGGTGAAGGGTTTGGTGAAACTTTATTGCTCAACATAAAACGTCAAATTGACCAGATGTACGAGCTGTTAAGATACAGAAGAATACCAAAGGATTTAAAGAACAGTTTTTTAATATCGAATAATTTTAAAGATTTATCGTCTATAGATATTGAAGGGGTAAAATATTAATAATAATAATAATATATCTAATTATTATTAAGGATAATTCAAATATATATGTATGTATTAGCTTATAGGGAAAATGAAAGATATTCAGTTACAACTACAAATGGCTAAAGAACTAGGTGTGTATAACGACGACGGAATAAGACACGTAAATCAGCTTAGAGGCGAGTACTCGGTTTTACTTCGAGAACTACGCAAAAGGAAACACAAAAATAAAAGAAATATTGTACAGAAAATGTTAGGATGTTCAAATCCTTTTAGTTCCAAGGTATTATTTATATCATCTTATTAAATTATTAATGAAAATAAATACTTAGGCGTTAGGCACATATGTATAACTTATGAATATAAATTATAATACATATTATGTATAAGTACCTACTGATAATTAGAAGTACCTACCTATACGGCTATACCTATCTATAATAATATATTTTATGTGCTTTTAGAAAAATATAATTGGCTAACAATAATGTTTTCGTTCTTCTTTTAATTCAGTTAAGCTGTGAAAAAGAACAAACCAAGACGGTCCAAGCTACAAGAAAATTACAAGAAGCAACTAATATATTTGTCGCACAAACTGCTCAAGATTACCGTCCTAAAATACATATTTGTAGGAGTACTGTTTATGCTAAAGACAATTTTTTAGGATTACCTAAATTACCCAGAGAACAACTGCTCACTCAGATCTAAATGGTGTTTCAGTTTTTGAATTATCCGATGTAAATGATTGTACATCTTTTAATCTGTGCTTCCTTAGCTCAGATATTTTTTCTCAAATTGAAATACTAACTCTTTAAAAGACTTGACTACTTAATTTATTTTTGACGGTTTTATCGTTGTGCTGTACAACATATTTTCCGTATTTATATTTTCTACGAATGATTCAAATTTTTAATAGTATACCACGCTGTATCGTCCACTAATAGAGATGTGTAGTTTGTCACGGATTCCAATACAATTGTATAATTTTTATTTTTATTAATTTTGTAAGTGTGCGCAATCAATTTAGATTCCTCTTCAGTAGGTCTAAAATTTCAATGGTCGCATTAACTATATGCTATATAATTAGTGCATGAAATACAATTATGTATATTTTTAAATTTTTAAATTGTAAGACTTCCACTATATACTAAGTAGGGTAATAAGACCAATCAAACGCAAATGCTCAGATCTTGAATTATTGTTATTTAACACCAATAGTTAAATTTTATTTAAATCTTTTATCTAATTTTATTTTCAAATATAATCTAGAGTAAATGATCCACTGTATAAGGGTACTTTAATATATACTATGTTTTTGCTTTAGAGAATTTTTCTATTTGAATTAGGTCTCTTATATGTAATGGAATTATATGATATATTGATAAAACAAATTTAGTATTTTAAAATTTGAAATTTAGGAATATATTATTTTGGTATTTAATGTTTCCTACTACATTAACTTAATCAACAGCTCATTGTTGAGGAGTCATCGAGATAATCATTCACTAGGTGCGTCTTATGTAAAATTAAATCTTGTTATTAATTAGTTAACATTATTATTTATTTTATATAAATTAAGTCTGCACGCACAATGCATAGTTTATAAACAACATTTTAAGTGTAAAAATCAACTAGTCAAAGTCGAAAAATTGGGGATCAATATCTATAAAATATTAAATGTAGTATAAATAATAAATGTACCTATATAGTATTAATGTACCTCTGTAATGACATGTTATGTAATTTTAGTCATCTATAAGTGCTTATTATTAACTGCGTTAAGAAAAATATAGGAAAATATGTGATATTATGTTAAATATAATATAATAAAATATATAAATTATAAGCCATAAGATCCCTCCACGGACAAACAATGCAATAGGTATAATAATGTTGTTTTTTTTTAATAATTATAATTACAATTTACAACTGTTGAATATTTAAATAATTTTAAATTACCTTTACATCTTTGTTAAAAATATAAATTTATTGGCTATATTATACTAATGAAAAAAATGAATACGTGTATATTTTCTGTTATATATAAAATATTATATTACCTATCCAATCGAACTTCTTGGTACCTAAATGTCCAGAAATATATGATAAAATATTTTTTAAAATGCAACCGTGTTTGCATTTTATAACGATGAGGTGGTAGTAGTGCCTAATCTCAATCAAGTACGAATTGGGGTCCGTGCTTGTGAGCGGGACGTACAAATTTCGGCCACATAATAATTACCATTCCATATTATCGGCCAATTACCGTTAGCCTGCAGCAAACACCACGAGGAGGTTGCCCGAGTCGCCTCCCAAAAATATGTTTTTATTTATTGTTCTATTGTTTTTATTATTTATGTTTTTTTGCCGATGAATGAGTTGGTCGTAACTTTAAATTTAAATAATTGGTTTAGAAAAAACTTAAAACTTAAAGGCCTAACAAACAAAACTGCCCTATTTCTTTTAGTTTGCGGTTCTTCGCTTATTATTTTTCACACAATGTCTTCGTTTTGAATCCTTTACTTCTGCATATTATATGTAAGTCTTACATTGAACTCCGAGTAACACATCAACGAAGTAAAGCACGACATAATATTAAGTTTTGAGTGAAAACTTCAACAACTGTTAGCAGTAAATTTAAACTGTAGGTACGCATATTATATACTCTACTCTATAGGGGCAACATGGAGTCCGGTGAATTATTACTCTGGCCGCAACTCGGTTACAGCTAAAAAGTTATAGGGTCGAAATTCAACGGTGCCCGACGTCGTAAACAACACATCGGGTCACCACTCACCCACAGCCATATCTCAGACTAAAAATGACAAACCGGTAATATCATATACATACTATATATTATATAACTTCAAACCAGGCGCGGATCCAAGGGGGGGGCAAGCCCCCCCCCCCGTAGACTGGTGGATTTTCTATTATATCTATTTTCGGCAGTTGATAAAATGTATTGTTTTGCCGATAGCGTTTCGGCCATGTCCGTTTTTACCGGTCGCCGTCAAAAAGCTAATCTAATCTAATCGAATATTTAAACTTGTTTGATGCAATAAAATGTTAAAATATTATTAATTATTATTTATTATATACTAGCTGATCCCGTGCACTTCGTCGCCCGTTAAATGGATCAACTCAATACTACCTACTCAAACTTTGTTCAATTCATTAACGTGTATGGTGTTCAAAATTTATCTTATCTTTCCCGTTGCCCTGAATAAAAATTCTGAATCGCAGCAGTACATTATCAGGTAGGCAATCTACCTGCGGTAGATCGCGGACCCCGTGCTGTTTGTACGGAAGTGTATGATTTAACTCTAAAGTATCAAAGTTATACCAAGTTTATTTTGATGTAATACTGTGGATTAATATAATAAATTTGGTTGCTCGTAAAAAATCGCAACTCTTAAAAAAATTATGATTGTTGAACTCCTTTTGGGTGTAATTTTCTGCGGTAAGTGCAACTCTGCCACCCTGGTAAGCATTGTTCAATAATTCGATTTGATGCAAGCTTGTACCTGATCTGCCCGAATAACCAATGGCAACCAATAAATAAATGCTAATTTCTAATGTAGACTGTAACCAATGGCAACTATAAATAAATAAAAATAAAATTTCCAATTTCTATCGTGAATCTCAATGTCCCTGTTTCAGCACCTATTTAAAATGCGAATTTTGGCAAATCCTTTCTTAGCGCACGTCTATATTATAATAGCTATCCGTATGCCAAATTTCAGCCAGATCCGTCCAATGGTTTGAGCTGTGCGTTGATAGCAGTCAATCAGCTTACTGTTTTTTATATACAGATATGGTTGCCATGGTAATATGGACCCACACACACACACACACACACTGACTTACATTCATTTTTATATATATAGATTGATATGAAATCTTGGTAACCTTAGTAACCATGGCAACCTTGGTAACCATGGTAACATGGACACACAGACACACTGACACACTGACATACATTCATTTTTATATATATAGATTACGTACCATTATTAATTAAACCATTTATATTACTTATAAAATTATTTTATATATTTTATCGTAGTATTGTACTGATAAACTGGTTTTAAATAATAATATTTGACTATTAGCTTACATAGTATATACAATGTTTTTATCAGACTTAGGCAGAAATTTTATTTAAGATGCCCCTCCCCCCCGTAGGCCGTAAATATGCTCTAGATCCGCGCCCGCTTCAAACTATTCAATTATTCGACGACTAGTATTGGTTAGTAAAATTAATTATTAGAGCAAAATTAAGATTGATCACGTTCTTGTCATTAGGTAATTCATTTTCACAGATTGCAAAATTTGTTACAAAAATTCTTCAACAATCAATTTCTTTCTAAATTTTGGTATATAATTTACTATAATATTGTAGACTGTAGGTTTATTCACACCTTACATTTTTTTAGTTATTCGCAGTAAGTACTCAAAGTTCAAACGCAAGTGAAACATCTATGAAAATTGGCTAATTTATTTTACTCAGATTTTGAAGTAATATACCATAATGATGCGTATAGGTAATTACTAAAACTACCTTATAACCAGCTAGTAATACCATAGATACCGGTAGTAAACAAATATCAGATACCGGTATCAACATTTGAAATACCACCGCAGCGGCGCAGCCTAACATTGGACGTTCCGTTCATTCACGTGACCAAGTATAGTTTTTCCTTTGACAGCAAATTTGCTGATTGTTATTATGTATAAATGTATAGTGCAGATTGTAAATATTTTCCACTTAAAAAAATAAATAATAAATACAAAAAAAATGACTTACTATAAATTTAATTGAAAAATATAGACCTGCAGAACTAATATGTTAAATATGTTAACTAACATGTTTAATTTTTTTCTTTAGCAAAATCATATTTATTGTTTGTTGTAGGTATTGTATGACATAAATCATGATACAATAATCGTGCTCCTTATTTTTTAGGTAGTTAGGCGTATAACTTATCACTTATCAGTGTTTGTTAATTATAAATTTATGATTTTTAAATGAAATATTATAGATTTTTTTTACTTTTAAATATCTCATAAGTACCTACATAATTATACGCGTCTTGAAGGTACAAAATGTAAATGTTTATGTCATTAGCGTTATACCGATTATAATTTCCATATTATTAAAAAAATTTTAAATTTTATAATATGATGCTCATACCTTAGACGTTAGAAGTATATGGCCTTTTTATCTGTCCTTCAATAGTTCAATGTTTCAACATTTTTATTTGATAACATAAATTATTAATGAGTACGAACAATGTTAAATGTAAAGTAATAATTCGTATAATTTCAATAAAACTTAAAAATAGTTGTAATCGTATATAGATATTATAATTAGGCCTTAATTTGAAATTAAACATTATCATTAGAAGTTAGAACTATTGATTACAATCAATAACTCCCAGTAAAATATTTTCTGGCTCTACAATTTCATTCACTATTTCAATCGATTGTTGTAGTAAAATTAAATATGATTCATTAAAATCAATCTCATTATGATATAAAACCATACAAACAGTATCTATATCCACACGATCGCCTTTTTTTACAAGTAAGCGAATACCGACCGCTGGATCAATCGCTTGATTAGAAAATTGTCTTCCGGCGCCCAATTTGTTACAGACTTTAGCAATATTTATACCATGTATGCCATTCACGTAACCTATAATGATAAATTATATAAAGTAGGCCTTATAATATTGAAATGGAACATTTGTTTGGCCATACTAGTTTCTTATTCAAAATTGTTTTTGAATAGGTAGGTACACTCCTAGTAACTACCTATACAAATACATTTCAAAATTTAAAACACTTCAACGTATCTACCTGAAGTAAGAGCTTTAATTTCGATCTCGTATTTGGCCATTGGTAAAACGGAAGTTGTACTGCCATAACATAACTCATCTGCTATCCTCTCGTCGACTCTCAATTCGATTAACATTTGCTTGAACTTTTCTAAAGCTGTTCCGTTATTTAACGACTCAGCCATCCGCTTACAACCTTCATTCACCGAACTTACTTTATGAGTCATTTCTAATAGATGTCCGCCTATTAAATTTAGCGTAATAATAACAATTATAATATAATCCATTAGTAATTAGCATTGCACAAATAAAAAATATATATAAATACCGATTAGTTCAACGAGAGCTTGTAAGTCATTCGGCCCTTTTCCCCTCAAACAATTTATGGATTCTAATATTTCCAAAGAATTACCAACATAATTACCAATTGGTGCTGACATTCTAGTCATCAATGCTCTACATTCAATGCCCATCAGTTTAGCCACTATAACCTAGAACATTACATAAACGTCGTTATATTATGTAGATATATACAACGCACATATAATTGAGATGTAGGTATTGTATTTTTGTGCTCAGCAATGTCAACAATTATTTTCCTATATAATATTAGCATAGCCACATAGGTATAGTACCTACCTATACAAGTAGAGGAGATAAAGGTGAATTTAATAATGTTTATTTACTTTCCAAATAACGATATTATAATATTATTTCTTTCTAATAATTTCTAGAAACGAGATCGGAAGCGGAGATTTTTTTATGTATCGCCCCGGCCGTCGCTGCACGTCCGGTCCTATCGAAATATATTATGTATTTATGTTTTCAAATTTCAAATAGAGATCGACATAATATATAAATATAAAATTATGCAATAAGGAATCTGAAAACAGATTCCTGATTCTTCTGAAATCTGCAGAATCGTTTATTTTTGTAATCCCGTAAAACGAATAAAAATATACAATTTTAAGGCCTAATTGCCTTTCATCAAATTAGAGAAGCGAAACATTCAAACAACTACGTAAACAAAAAATAATGCGTAGCCGCCCTGTGCGTAGGTATAGGTAGTATAGGTACTAACTATTAAGTACTAACTATAACTAATAATACAGTTATTACAGTTATAATTATGGGAGTTACTCCTTTTATAAATAAACGACGAGTCTATAATTTGTATAGATAAAGATAATTTATAATAGGTATATTTGACTATAATGTGTAGGTAATTATTTTTTTAATTATTAGAATAACTTACAAATTGCTTTCCAAAGGATTTAGCTTCGTCGATTGAATGGAAAAAACTTGCTGATCCTACTTTTAAATCGAGTACTAAATATTTAATACCGGCGGCTGCTTTTTTAGATATTATAGACGCTAATAAAATGAAAAATAACGTGTCTTATTCGAATATGTTTTTATAATTAATAGGTATCTATAGGTACTAAATTAAGATTACCTATAATTAATCCAGCATTGTCGACCGTGGCAGTGACATCTCGAGCTGTGTATAGAACAGAATCGGCCGGCGATAAATCGTCTGAGCCAACAATAAAACATCCAAAATTATTGCCCATGTCTAACAGCTGTTGGTCGTCGAAACTAAACGAGGAAAATCCTAAAACGATGTAGGTAGTTATCGCAGTGTTATTGTGATGTGATATAAATTATTTGTTGTTATTATCTAACTACATAGTAAACGGATTCGTTTAAACAGTGAAAACATTCGTTATTGAATTAATATTGTGCTAAACTGCTAACCAGGAATACTCTCGAGTTTGTCCAACGTGCCACCCGTAAACTCGAGTCCTCTGCCCGACACCATAGGTATAATAAAATCTTCTTGGGCGGCACTCAGCGCAGGTACTAGCGGAATTGAGACTTTATCCCCGACGCCTCCGGTGCTGTGTTTATCCACGACGATTGCAGACGATCTAAATTTGAGTATTTTGCCTGAATTCGCCATAGCCGTGGTCATGTTGTAGACCTCGGCATTGGTCAAGCCGTTTAAATACAAGGCCATTAACATCGCTCCTGCATGAATATATTATACCAAAATACCTAATTAATATTTTACAATGGTATATATTGTATGCCTAGGTTAAAAGAACTCCTCGCCATCTAGGCATGTTACATTATATAGCTACCTATAAGGCTCTAACTAAGTATAACTAACACCAACAATTGTGCAGGGTGAATAAAAGGGACGGTCTACTGATCTCTTGAATATATTACTTGTATAGTTATATGCGTATATTTGGTAGGTAGGTATGTTACAAATTTGTATAGGCCTATCTGTATAGATTGTATGGTTTTTTATTTTTACACTAAATTTACATTTTTCGTTCATCACTAAACAAGTTTATATGATGAGCAAAAATAACTAGGTACCACCACAAATTCTCATGCAACAATCATTTTTAACACCAACTAATGATTCCCGGTACTCGGTAGTAGGTACCAAATTAGAAAAAAAACGCGTGACACAATTTTATGGCCCAACATTTTGGTAATCTTATCTGCAATAGCAAAGATTTTGTTGGAGCATTTAGCTTTAATTATTTAACATTTTTGAACGCATGGGAGTTTAAATTGTATTATAATATTTTCTTTAAAACTAAATGTGTGGTGTATGGGGATTGGAAATGGTGATTTATTATGTTGTACATAGATTTTTATGTTTTCAACCACTCCTATTTTTTTAGTGAAAACCCTGATGCAAAGTGTGCAACCAGAAACATGAAATGTGTACATTTTTTGGAAAACAGATTTTGCGTAAAAATTCCCGTTATTCCCTAATTTGTATGTGTTTAATCCCGGCGCTTGTGAAAACTATTGGGAATTTTAAAATTTGACCACCCGAATGCACCAACTAGATTCACTTTCCAATCGAACAAGATACCTACTGAAGTTGAATATCGAAGCATTATTTCGACTACTTATCGTGTACACTGTACACAGACACAAAAAAAAAAAAAACACACATCATTGTAAAATCAATACATTCATCGTTCCACTCAGAATCTAAAATCAAGTAGGTATAGTAAATTCACTTGCCTTACAACAACAATGCTGTGAAAGGTGATTCCTGAGAGCAAGTCCAAACAAGAAGTATAACGAGAAGTTAAGTCTTGGGTCAGCGAATTTTCAAATCAAATTGCCTATACACTAATAAGTTCCTATTAAGTGACTCTTTTGCATTTCAACTTTTTTGCATTTTTAAGATTGCCGAATAATACCCACCAAATATATTATACATAAAAGTGTAATTCAGTTGTAATTCAAAAACAAAAAAACTTTAAGAAATGGTAATAACGGGGTGCCGCCACTGGGTGACTTCCCCCTCCTGTTAACCAAAAATCATCACATTTACTTATTGTATCACATGTAAATACAGATTGTAAAAAAAAAAAAAAGAAATGGTAACGATAAAAAGTAATAAAAAATATAATTTTTGTTTCACAACAAACTGAAATCTATGTAAAATTTTTTTCAAATTCGTTAATAGGTTTTCAAATAACGGGTGTTCCTCGATAAAATAATAATCGCCCGGTTTACCTACAGAACATATTATATTTACCTACCTATTATTGTAACCGCTCTTACCGATTTGACATTGATCTATACATCCATCCACTGTACATTTTACGAAAAATTTGATCTCGTCGTCGGTCAATTCGTTTTTCTGGCATTTTTTTTTTATTATCGATATAATACTCATCTCGCAATTATAATATGAATATCAGTCGTCGATAATAACGTTCATCTACAGTATCCCGCACGATGTACATAGGTACTAATAAGTGCCACCTATTAAAACAATATTATATTATAATATAATATAGCATTAGGTAGGTCCTAGGTAGGCAGGTAGTACTATATAGTAGCATTGATTTTAAATCAATGGTAGGACGTACCTACGAGTTTGTATCAAACTCCGTCACTATTGGTTCGAGTCGATAATTTTTTATTTGACTTAATGATAATAATATTATGTGTAGGTATAGGCAAGAAGATGTTTTGCATGACACTACCTAGCATAAATAAATTGTTATAATTTGTTATTACTGCAGTGGTGTTATATCTATACAGATGCATACCTTGAACATGCTCTTTTATTTATTTATAATCGATGAGAGCAATTAATATTCATAGAGCTACGCATTTGTTTTTATTAAAAAAAAATTGTTTTATAATAGGTACAAAATGTTATCTACTTAAATATTACTTATTAGGTAGGTGCGTTTTGCTCTCACAATAAAACAATTATAATTAACTGTGGTTTATTATTCTGTTCTATTTGAATTGAAGGAGCAAAGTTTGGTTTTTAAAATGTTTTTAATATGATTAAACATTAAACTTAAACACTAGTACATTAGATGTATCATGTAGGTGTGGTTGTTACATAACCATAATACAGGGTGGGGCAGTGGGTTCTGATGATTTATAGAGTACTGCGGTTAGGTATTAAAGTAGATAAGATAAACTAGGTTTTCGCCAGATTAAAGTTTATGATGTTTACTGTTTAGTTTTACTTTATTAGTAATCATGGACTGTGAATCAGTGCGTTTTTGCCGTTACGACGTTTATTGAGTGTAAATCTATTATAACTGTACAACGAAATTTTCGACGACAATTCAATATTCCTGTTGGAGGTAATGTTCCTTCACGGAATTCAATCTTAGACTGGTATCATAAATTTCAAAATACTGGTTCTGTCTTAACAACTTATAAAGGTAGCCAAAAAAGTGTAAGAACACCAGAAAACATTGAACGAGTACGTCAAGCAATCGATCAAAGTCCACAACGCTCGGCAAGACGCCATTCTCAGTCGTTGAACTTGTTTATAACAATTAAAAATAATGTTTATGTTGAATAAAATACAATTTGTTTCATTACTTTGTTTTTAATACTTGATCAATAAACTACAATTAAAATTCGTCAGAACCCACTGCCCCACCCTGTATATAGGTAAGATTATTTATTAATCTAAATGTGAACACTATAATAATGTACCAACTACCTACCGGTGAACTAAAATTTGGTATAGCAGGTGAAGTGAATAATATAATTTATTATATAGGTACCTAATATTTATAATATTATTTAATTAGGTGTTTCGCAAATAATTCATTTTTAAAACAAAAATGCTTGTGGTCAGATATGAATTTAGTAATAAATAATGAAAATCAAATATTTTTCTTTTATTTAAATGGTTACAATTGTTTGAGGATTATAATATTATTACTATTGTAATTTTATTGTAAGTAGAAATAACAATGTCATGTAACATTTTTTACATATCAACATATTATTCTAAATACACAATTCAAATTGATATCGCAGAATAGATTAAATATAAAACAATGAACATTAAGAGTCAAACTTACAAAAAAAAGAAATAGAACTTAAACAACTGATTTTTAATAAACATACATTTTTACATACCAAATCCATCTATAGACAGATTAGTTTTTCCACATGTTTTTTAAGATTAAAATAATATCTTTTGCATAAACATTTATATCAAACAGATCACTACGCATTTTAAATTCCCAAATATTTTTTCTGATATTTTCCAAAGCGAGTTTGTTCAATCCCAATTGTATTGCAATTTCAATATAATTTTCTTCATTTTGAGCAATAGTATCAGTGATTCCTAAAGTAGTCAATTGTGAGGCCGTTACACGAGATTCATATGTATCTCCCGGAAATGTAATTACTGGAACTCCTGCCCATATTGCATCCAAGCAAGCTATGTGTCCATTACATAAATGTGTATCCAAATATATATCGGCCAACTGGATTCGATTCAAATGTTGGTACTTAGGAAGAAAGTCAGCAAAAATGATGCGTGATGTATCAAAGTCTAAATCATCAGCAAATGTTCTTAAGTTATTTTCAGCAATATCATTCAAATGTAGAAGCCATAGTACAGAGTTAGGAACATTATTTAAAATATTTAGCCACATACGAAAAGTAAATGGGTCTATTTTATACAGTTTACTGAAATTACAAAAAACAACAACATTCTCTGGTAAGTTGAACATTGATCTATAGTAAGATTTCACAGAGTCTGCGAGTTCTTCTTCAATATATGAGGTTTCAACTGATACTATATCATTGACATCATTTCCATTAAGATAAATGCCTTGATGCGTAATATTATTTGTATTATCTACGACTGCTTTGCGCTGTCGTAAATTAGAAAACTTCTGTTTGTGGTCGCCAACAAAAATAGTTTGATTTGTATAAACCCATTTTTCAGTATATAAATGTTGAAGTTCAGGAGGAGAACATATTTTATCTGTAATCAAGTAATCCATGAATGTTGTACCACTGGTACTAGGACAACCAAGCCACGAAACTTGAATTGGAGCTGGTCTTAAAGCAAATATCTCAGTTTGAGCACCCTTGGTATAACCACTCATGTCAACCAAAATATGGATTCCATCGTTATTTATAACTTTAGCAGCATCAATAAATTTCAGTTGTGATAAATCTTTATGATGTTCAAAGAGATTCAACCTGTAATTAAAAAAAAAGAAAAGATTTTACATAATTAATATTATAATCAATAATTATTAATAGGTGAAGGATTAAATATTATCAAAGTTAAACAGAAAAATAATATACATAATTTAATACTACACAATGGCTGAATTTTAAGAAATTAGTTTAACTTTATTTAACTAAGTATAGGTATTTCAAGGTATTTGTTTTTGAGAAATCAGATGTTAATAATAAAATGTTGAAAGTTTATTTTTAATTTTTGTTAATGTTTAAATAACAAATTGTAGTAGGTATTATATTTTATTGAAAAAGGGTCAGTAAGTTATAAACCATATGTTTTTGAGCTGAATACACATATTTTGACCTTTCACCGATTTTTTATAAGGTTTTTATTTTCATGGTAACTTATTAACAAGAACATATTTATGATTCACAGATTTTCCTTTTGGAGGAAAAATATTGAGTAGGGTGTTAAGGTTATTTATTTGTGTCTGTACACACGTTAAGTAGTCAAAATAATGATTTGATTTTCCACTTCGTTAAATATTTTGGTGGGAAAGTGAATTTTATTTTTGCACTCGAGAGGTTAAAATTCAAACTCCTAGTAGTCTTCAATGGCATCAGAAAAAACAGTTACGAGAATTTTTAAGCAAAATCAGTTTTTAACAAAATTGATTTTGATTTATGTTGTAATACAAATCAAATAACCTAAACCTCTATAGGTACTTGAAATGTTTATATATTAGCACTTTTTATGTATGATACAACCATAGCTACACGAAACTTTCATCGAAATTTTATATTAGCATTTTCTATAGACCATACAATTTTCAAAATATTTTAAGTCCATTTGAGCTATTGATAGGCATAAGAACATTTTGATTGTTATTAGTTTTTTTCTATAAATGACAATAACAATTTTTTTTTTTTCGGTTTCAAAAAGTTAGAAAAAATGTAATACCTACAAGGTCACTCATAAGTATTTATAATAGCAGTTTAAAAACATTAAAGATTCATCATACGAAGGCACATTTTTTTTTATATTTACATATTAAGTTCAAATTTAGTTATTTTATTATAATTTAAAACAATTATTCATGGGTACCTATTTGAAAATTTAAAAGTATATTATTTTATTTTATACATTCAATGGCGTTCTTAAATGCAATTTTTTCGACAAATTAATTCAACCTATTAATGTTTAATAGTAGAATAAAATACTTAAAAACAATAATAACATAATAAATAATTAATATTATAGGCTGACAGACAGCCTTTACTCAATATTGTTTTAGTATACAATGATTTTATATAATTGAATTCAAATTTAACATTATTCAAACCCACTCGATATCAACAGTTCACACTTTTCCACATATTTACTTTTATTTATTAAAATCATTAAAATCAAATATTTACCAGGATGGAATGTTATCATTTGAAGATATAGAATAACAAATTACATCAACTTGGTAGTTGTGTAGGCTGGACAAAGATTCCATAATCGTTGTTATTGGGTGTTTACCAAAGTTGGTTGATACAAAACCAATCCTGAGATTTCCATTGGAAGATATTAAAGATGTTGGATGAACAAATTGTTGAGGTCCTTCAATTGAATTTTTCAATTTTTCAACACAATGTTTTGCATACTTAGAAGCAATTTTAGTTTGTACTTCTATCGATAGAGGAAACATTAATGCATCGTGAGGTAATAAGGACAAAATGTCTTCATCATTCAGTTGTTTGTTAACAATTTCTTGTAATTTTTTTACGTGTGCATCATAGTCTGACCAGTCACAAATTGTTTGTAAACATCGTACTAAATTACAATATACGTCTGGAAGATCTGGTTTTAATTTTAATACAAATTCATAAGCACGAATTGCTTCAATGAAATTATCACTGTCTTTTTGTATAGAACCTATATAAATGTAAGCTTCTAAACAATGTGGATCATGCTGAATTGCCATATAAAAGCAACGTAATGCATCTTTAATCATGTTTAATTCTGTATATATATTTCCCATATTTATATAAATTTCAACAGATGTATTGTCATATTCTAATGCTTTTTCATAATGTGTTAGAGCATCATTTAGATTTATATTCAGTCTATATAAAATATTGGCTAAATTCAAACAAGCGTTATAATGAGTAGGTTGTTGCAACTGTATAGCCATTTTATAATAATCTATGGCCTTTTCTGAAATACCATATTCTTCATATATTATGGCAATATCACAATAAGCATTGGCCAACGTCGGCTTTAATTCTATAGCATGTTTATACCTGTTGAAAAATGAATGATATAATTAGTTATACTGAATAGATACATTTTACAAGGATTATTTATATTAATTAAATCAAGTAGCAAGTACTATGATTTTATCATGGGAAACAGAAATTAACAACAAAGAAGATAAGAAAAGAACAATAGTACAATATCTTAAACTGAAGTCTATAAAACAAATAAAAACAATTTTAATATATCTACTAATAACCAACATTTCAAAAATAGCGGAAAATAAATGCATGCATGCAAAAAATGTATATAAAATGTATACTAATAGTATTAAATATGAAAAATAATGAACCATTTATTAATGAATTATTAATATTATATTCTAAACTTGTATATTAAAATTGACTTAGTTTCTTTATTATTATTAGTAATAAGCAAACATTTACATTTTAAAATATAGCTAGGTACAAACAATATAATCAACATATGCAATTAAATTATGATAAATAATAAATATCCAAAATTTATTATGTTATGTAGTTAGTGATTTTATAAATTTCAATGGCTGTGGAAAATGTGGACAAATTGTCCGTCACAGAATTCATAAAATTTTGAAAATTTAAGCATATTTCGGAGATTAGAGAATTTAGCCTATATTTCATATTTAAGAGGACGGGGGCGGATTTAAGGGGGGGGGGGGTCAGGAGGTCAGCTGACCCAAAATTAATATTTGCTGATCAAATTGGCCTCTTTTCAGATCTTGGGTAGTTGGACACTTGGACCCTCGAATAAACACACATACAGTATAAATTATTTTTTTGGTTTTATATACCTAGAACACAAGTATAGATTTTTAATCTGGTTTTAATAAGTGGCTCCTTGAAATGTCCTGACCCACAGTCTCCTAACTCTGGATCCGCCCCTGCGTCTCAGCCGCATGTTTTCTCCGCCTTACAAGCATCTAACATAGAAAACTGTATGCTCAGCAGAACACGTGTAGCTCAGTTAATTTAAAAACTTAAGTGAATTGACCTCTTATAAAATTTAAATGTAAGATTATTTATCTAGACAACTTTAAGGGATTTTTATTATATTTTAATTTCAAAGCGAGTTATGAGTATTTTAAAATTGTAAATTATTAGTACGTCTTAAAATACTCAAAACACACTTTAAAATTAAAATATAATGAAAACCTCATAAGGTTGTCTAGATAATAATCTTACCTTTAAATTTTATAAGAGGTCAATTCACTATAATTTTTAAACTAAAGGAGCTACACGTGTTCTACTGAGCATACACTTTGTTTGTTACGCACTTGTAAGACGGAGACAACATATGCGGGTGAGGTCCTCTTAAGAATATTTTGTATTCTTGTTCATAAGAAATTAATTTTTAATTGTAAATTACTAAGAATTTAGCTGCAGGAAAAAATAATGTTTTTAAATTAAAAATCAAAAATTATGGAAGTTGACCATAACTGGTTAGTTATTAAACTAGAAATTGTTTTAAATGTGACTGATTTTGAATAATGCACCAAAAAAAAAGATGTATAATACATATTTTCAACTTTAATCATATTATTAAATGGTAAATGTATATATTTTTAATTTATTAAGTTTAAAGTAACATATAGGACATAGGTACCTATTATACATAATATGTTTCTTATTGTAAATTGTATAAATATATTTAAACTCGTTTAAGTAAAAGAATCGAGTATTTTCTGCAAATTTAACCAATTTAAGGATTATTAGAATATCTGAAGAATATTTGGAGGATCTTTTTAGAGCACATTTTTAACTTTTAATTGTGTTGATTAATTATTACCTTTTAAGAGCCAAATCCAAATGTCCCAGATTATACATAGTCAGGCCCAATTTCCAATGACCAAATGCATTTCCAGGGTTCAAAAGTATCGCGCAATAGAATGCATTTTTTGCATTTTCTTGATCATCACTTTCCAGGTACAAATCACCTATTGACATGCAAGCATCAGACGCATTAAGACGATCATTAGATTTCCGATATGCAACAAAAAGATTCTTGAACAGATCTATTCTATTTGGATTTAACTGGATACATTTTTTTAAATATATTACAGCTTCTTCATAATTTTGAAGGTTATGCAAATATATCAAAGCCAATTCTAGATTCAAACTGAAGTCTTCAGGTTGAAGTTTCAAGCACTTTTTGTATACTTCAACACACAATAACATATTTTCTTGAATACAGTACGTAACTGCTAAACTTCTTAAAAAGGATACATTATCTGGTTCTAGTTCAAGTGCTTTTAAAAATATATTCGCTGCGCTTTGGTACTCTTTAACTTTTAGATGAGCCGTTCCCAAATAAAAGGAAGCACTCATTAGACCGGGATTTATTTCTAAAGCTTTTTTATACTTAGAAATAGCTTTTCCAAATTTACCCATCTTATAATAAACATCTGCTAAATTGTTTAATGTATCTGGACATTCTGTCGCACAGTTGTTGGCAATTTTAAAATGCTTTTTAGCCTCTTTTATTCTGTTTAATTTTAATAGCAATTTTCCATACTTATTACGAACTTTATATAGTTCGGGTTTTAGACTCAAAACCCGTTCATAAGCTAAATTAGCTTTAGTTAAATCATTTATCTCAGATAAAAAATCGGCATAATCCGTCCATGCCTCCGCACAATAAGGCTTGATGGCACATACTTTAAATAAGTATTCGTTTGCTAGATCATTTTCTGATTTTTTCATATAAACTAATGCAAAGTTACTTAAAACTTCGGTACAATTGGGATTAATATTGTTTGCTAGTTCTAAGCAATCAATACATTTTTCATAGTTTCCGCAGTTGAAAAATGATTCGGCATTAAGCAATATAACATTTAAGTCTGTTGGTGTATGTGTAAGTAATTCTTTACATATTTTTTGAGTACTGATGAAATTTCTATTTTGATGTTCTGATTTGGCAGATTTTAGGAGATTATCTAAAAAAATTATACATATACATTTAGAATATTGAACATTAGTTAATATTAAGTTATTTCTGTAAATAAATTGGTAGAATAACAATTAGATTCAAATGGAGTATCATTCTATGACAAAATGCAATAGAACAGAAGATCCCCCATGCTTTTTTTAAGAACTCCTGGCCACTGTTAGAAAACACCAAAAATAATGTGAAATATGAGCAAACAGTTTGGACGGGAAATTATCTTATGTTGTCCACTATAAATTTTAAGAGCAGTTCTCACAATGTCCGGTTAAAGTTAACTGACACTATACTGAACATTGTAAGAACAGCCATAAGTTTATATTATTCATAGACCTTATACTAATAGACAGAACATACCGGGTTGGCGAAGTAGAGTGGTACGTCCGAGAGAATTCATTTACGTTATATTGGGTATAATGGAACAACGCAACAACTTGCCCTCAGAAATATTATCACAATTCAATTTTATAACAGATATTTTTACTCTAAAACCAAAATTGAGTGACTTCTACTCAGAATGTGTAAACGTGTTTTGTCTATGTTGTACATATGTAAGACAAAGACAACACATGCGGGTGTGACGTCCTTTTAAGAAACAAATCTTAGGGTAACAACGATATATATCGGTATAAAACGATAGTTTAAGAAAACACTTATGTATGGTGTATCAAATAGTATCAGGCTCAGACTTACTGTGAACACAGATATTAATGAAGTTCAAAATAACTAGATATAGTGTTAATGAATTGTATAATTTCATTATTTACTCAATAATAAAAATAATATTTATGAAATATACACATAATATTCACAATATGTATAAATGTGTATTTGAACAAGCTATAAGATCTATAAAGGGTCATAGTCAGTGCTTGATTTGGAAAAAAACTAGAAGGGGGACTCTGAGGATGTTTGATGAATGAGCGTTCCACACAAAATTAATTATCACATTACCGTGGGAGGCAAAGCCCCCCACGCCCCCCTTCAGTCACCATATTCCCAAAGAATCATTAAATGTACTATACAAAAATATTTTAAAAGAAAAAAAATACTTGTTTATTCCTTATTTTTTTTTTTAAACATAAAATGTAACATTATTATTTATTAATTAATTATTCTACAAAGAAAAAAAAGAAACTACTTATTAAATAAGGTCCACAAGTTTTCATATCTTCATGTTTAGAAGATCGTTTAGGACAGTTTACTTCATCAGAATTTCTTTTTCCACTTTTTATCCACCTACTGTACTTTTTCTTTTTAATTCCATTTTAAATTTCTGGTAAACTGGTATGGATTTTTTGATGACAATTGACAAATCAAAATACTTTAAGACTTAACAATCTTTTTTCATAGTCGATTCAAATGTACAAATATTATAGATATAGGTTATGGATATATATTTTGCATCAGAAAAACTGATGATTTACAAATTCACTATAATAAATGTTGCGTTCGCAGCGTTCCGTTTCAAATAAATAGAAGGGGTACGCTAAAAAAAATTTAAAAAGAAGGGGGACTCCGTCCCCCCACGCCCCCCCAAATCAAGCACTGGTCATAGTTCATAATAATCCCTATATTTTCCAAAAAACAAGAATAATTCTTATACTACACGGGTTAAAGTAGCAACCCTAGCATACGCAGAGCAGCCTATGGCAGTTTAATCATGCGACTCATTTCTGTACGGTATTTTATGCGGGCTGCTGTATGAGTTTTGTCTCCTTATTATAGTCTTAAATCTACATGGTCACCGACAATTTTGGTAGTGGTTTCTTGAAACACTACCTATCGTGGATAATGTGAACTACAGTATATTCTGTCGATAAGTATAAGGTTTATGTGTCTATTTCATATGAATATGGTGTACTGTTATGTATTAAATAATATTGTTATTAATATATATGGTCGGGTATTGTTCTACTATTTTCAAATGAATTCGATGACAGAACAAACAGTCATAACAAAACTGTCTGAGTTAATTACACGTTTTGGCAATCCCAGAACAATAATAACTGACAATGCAAAATATTTTAATGGCATTGAATTTCAGTCATATTGCAAAACACTAGGTATCAGGCATTTGACAGGGGCACCATTCCACCCAGCCTCAAATGAATTTGCCGAATCAGAAGTAAAATTAGTTAAGCAATTTTTTGATAAATGTTCAAAATCATTACACGATTTGAATAAATTTTTATTAATGTATAGAAATACTGTACACTCGACTACAAATGAAACGCCAGCAAAACTTATGTTTGGCCGCTCAATGTATTATTTTTGATTTATTAATCCCAAATACGAATGAAGTAGTTATTAATAACCAAATTACACAAATAAAAAAATTCTGGAAAAAGATAAATTAATGTAAAAGAGGGTGATATTAGTTAAGGATTATCGAAAATTGGCCAAAAGGAAAAATAACAGAAAACATTGATCAAAACACTCATAAAGTCATACTAGACGAGGGTTCAGAAAGGATAAGATACACTGATCAGATATGGCCACACAATCAAATAAATAACGGTCCCCTGCAACCAGTATAATAAATTTACCTAATAATGATTCTACTAAATCTGAGCTAATACATAATATCGCATCGATTGATACACTAACAACTCCTAGACCCTCCAGGATAAGATAGCCCCCTCAACATTATTCTCCTTCCAATTATAAATAATGAATAACCCATTTGCAGAAAAAAATTATAATTATAATTATTTAATATTTATAGCTTATTATGAAATATATATATATTAGGTATCATTATTATGGTTATTATAATTATTAGGATACATTGTAAATTTCAATCATAAATTGAAACATTTAAAATTGTATAATATCAAAATATTTTTATAACAAAATCTAATTTTACTTATAAGGAAAGAGGTGTTACATATTAAATAATGTTTATATATATATATATATATAGTGGGGGATTGTCCTACCATACGCGACGTGTGTGCCTAGCATGACATTCAGTTTTACTTATGCTGTTTCTACAATAAACACGTTATAATCATTTATATCTATAAATTGCAATTATACTGGTTAGTGTGTAATCATTGCATTAATATTAATGCAATGACTCAACATTTAACATTTTATTTTTTTTCACCCAGATAAAAATCCAGGCGCAATTTACTTAATATGCCCATTTAAATAAGGCCTAGCAATTAATAATACTGTATTATGATAATAACTTACCCAATTGTTCACTATAAATCTAAAAAAAAAAAAATCAAACTATCAAAATACAATCTAAAATATGTTTAATATTATTAATTGTTACCTCTATAGCTCCATAAAGCAGTGTTAAAGAATCCCCACACAATTTCATTGAGCTGGCTTTTCCAAGGGTTGCTCGTGCCAAATCTTTTACTTTTGTAAATCCCAATACTTCAAATTCATTGGAGATTTTTTCAAAACTTTAAAAAATAAAAACAATTAATTATAAAATAAATTGGTAAAATTAAGTTGAGTAATTAGACATAGAACATGTGTTTATACACGTGATACCCTCATGCGTTGTCTCCGTCTAACAAATGTACAACATAGCAAAAACTGTTTTGCGCGGGATAGAACAACTCCCTCGGTATTTAATATTTATAGTAGAATTACCAAAATGCATAGGGAACAATTTTATCTGTGTCATAGGGTTTTTATTATTTGGATAACATAAATAAAATTAAAGTTATCAGTTAAAGAACATTAAGATTTTTTTTGTTTTTTTCGTTTATTATTAAACATTTTTGGTAAATGCTTTAAAATATAAATAAGCTAAGACACAGATTAAGTTGTTCCCTATGCATTGTAGAATTTTAGTAATTCTACTATAAATACCACGGAAGTGGGTCTATCCCACTTAAAAGAGTTTTTTTGCCATGTTGTACATTTGTAAGACGGAGACAACGCACTACGGGTATCATATCCACTTATTGTATATTAAAAATGTATACTGTAGAATAGAACATAGTAGGTAGTTACTAAGTGAAACTAAAAAGTAATAACAGATCTAATAATAAATAGGACAAATTAAAAAAAAGAATAAGCTAGGGAAGGTAACCTCTCTCCTAATGTACACATTAGACAATATACAAATTAAACATTTAGACATCATTTTTAAAATAATATAATACACTTTGATCTTCACTTCACTCAAAAACCAGCATGCGGTAAGCAATTACGACATAGAAACTTTAATGGTAGACACACATAATATAGACATAAATCGAAAATTCATATTTCGCACAGGACTTAAATAAATAAGCTCTAATATAAATATTATTCAAGCATTATACTTTTCAATTTTCATTTATACAAGTATTTAAATTTAAAAAAAAGATATCTAGATCCTTATACACGATAATATTAATAACTGTAAATTATTTACTTTATAGGGTCGTTTTCTGATAAGATCTCTGTGATAACCGATATTGATGCTTCACAGTCAGAAAGTTTTGAGCAAAATATATCCTGTAAGTATTATAATTATTAATTTATATAATATTTGTAATTAATAAAATTAGCTTCACTGGTTAATCAAAAATTTTAAAATTTAGTAAACTTTATCTTTATAAAAATGTTAAGATAATGTTTTGCAAAAGTGGCATTTTTAGACAAACATCTCATTTAATTAGATCCCACACATGCATTTGTTGTCTTAAAAGTAACACAGAAAATATATGTTTGGCAGCTCACATTTAGCTTTATTAATTTATGTCATACACTTGTAATACTAAGGCAATAAATTATGTGGTGTCCTCTGAATTGTAAACATATTGTAATAACAAATATACCAAGAGAATTATAGTCCCCCAATCTCCCATTATGATGTACGATTAAAGAGATGTTCTAATAAAGGATGTCATATTAGCTCTGAACATCTCATTAATTGTTACATATCAAAATAGGAGTTTTGAAAGACAAAAAATATAAAAGGTGAATCTATTTGCTATAAAATTTTTTAACAAGACTTATCAATTCATTAATTAGTTCTTAAAAATATCAAATTGCAATATAAGATTTTTCTATGATTATAGTTAGTATGAATGTGCCAGAAACGCCTATATATAATATAATATAGTTAAATTATTAATATATTACTCACAAATGGTAATGAATTCATAGTTTAAAATATTAGGTACTAGTGATTTTTCAAATAAGTATCACTTATAATGATCCACATACACTTATGACTGTTGACAATGAACTGAAAAAACACAATATAATATATTGTAATAAATACATTAGATTATTAGAGTAAAAAAATGTATAATATATATTTTATTTGATTTTACTGATTACATTAATAATCAAATAGTTTAAAAATATAGTTAGATAGGTACTAGGCACATATTGAATGTACAATATTTAAACAATAAAATATGTTATACCTTTTATACACAATATCACTATACCATTAACCTAATCTATGGAGCCGCCGCCCACTACAATAAAATTATCCGTAAAGCCGTTTCTTTACTGTAGAATGTAGATATGCTGCACGACGCACTTCCAAGTTCCAACAGAATATCTGACACAAACACAGATATATAAATCACGGACAGACAGACTACACACAGACTTCTAAAGTTCTAAATAATATTATATACAGGACTGTACACGAGAAGGTTGGAGGGTGTGGGGGGTTGATTACGAAATGTAGTACAACAGGCGGAGTTCGGGGGGATATTTTCCTTTTTGCATTACTGGCGCTGTCTTAGTGGATACTTATGGAACTAGAAGTTTGTATGATGTGTTCTGTTTCCATAAGTATCCACTATGACAGCGCTAGTAATGCAAAAAGGAAAATATTCCCTTGAACTCCGCCTGTAGTACTACATTTCGTAACCACAATATTCATCTATTTTTTTTTTATATATTATCAGGTCTATGGCAAATGGCAATTGGTCAGTGAGACACGAGCCGGCCGGCTGCCAGCAGCTGCGGCTGGGTGGGACACCGACGCCGAGACTCCTGGCCCAAACTCCAAGTACGGTATAAACCTTAAGGTACAAACATGCCCATACTGGCATTAAATTTTAGGCGGCAATCACGATTTGAGATATTACCCCAGAATAATAGAATAGCATAGCTGTTATAGCTAAGGATTGAACATTTAAAACAAGATTCTGCGTAAGTAGGTGATTCTGTAACCCAATAATCTCAAAAATATAAATAGGTACACAGTACACAGTTTTTTTTAAAGTTATTTTATTTTCTAATTTGGACGAAATTACATATTAAATAACCAAGAATAACTAATTTAGTTATTTTGTTGTAATTTTATAATATCAATTCAACTTACTACCGTATTAATAACAACTTGTAACCTATACTGTACAGCAGAGCGACATCCACTTACTCACCTTTTTAGATTCTGAGTGGAACGATGAATGTATTGATTTTACAATGATGTGTGTTTTTATTGTTTTTTTTATTTTTGTGTCTGTCATCACGTTATAGGACAGTAAAAGTGCTTGGATTTTTTTCAACAGTATCTTTTCTGATAGGAAAGTGAATCTAGTTGGTATTTTGGGGGGTCAAAAGTAAATATTTCCCAACAGTTTTCAAAAGCGCCTTGAAAAACAAAAGAAAAATTAAGGAAAAACGGGAATTGTCACGCAAAATCTGTTTTCGAGGAAATCGATTTTGGTTTTTGGTGCAACTCTTAAACAAATGACCGTAGGTACATTAAATTTTGACTGAATGTTTATACTAGCATTTTCTATGCACCATAACATTTTCCAAATATTTTGACTTTTGAACTCTTTACGAACATTTTTAGTTTCCACTTTATTTTAGTTTTTTTTCTAAAAAAATCAACAAAATTTTATTCGTTGGTTAAAAGAGCTTGACAATTTAAGAGAAGGCTCCTAGTATATTTTTTCAAAGGTAGATGAAAAAAATTAAAAATCCTTAGTCACAATTTTTTTTTATAAGCATTTAAAGTTCAAATATTGACGAAATATGTCAAATTAAGTTAAATTTTTATGAACATTTGAAATTCATACTTTACAACATTTGATATTCACTCGAGTTCTCATTTAACGATTTTCTTATTTTGTTGTAATTAAAAAACGAATGACTGTAAATACTTGAAAATTTCACTGAATGTTTATATTTGCATTTTCTATACATGATACAATTTTGAAAATATTTTGACTCTTTTTTAGCTGTTAACGGACACTGTCAGTTTTCAATTTTTTTAATTTTTTATTCTATAAATATCAATAAAGTTTTATCTGTTGGGTCAAAAAGTGTAAAAATGAATACAAGTCTCCAAATATATTGTTACAATATCAGTTGAAAAATATTTAAAAATACATATTCACAATTTTTTGTTATAAGCATTTAAAGATCGAATTTTGACAACATTTATCAAATTTAAAATTTAATAATTATTTTGTAGTTAATAATTTATAAAATGTTCAACTTTTATAGCTAAGTATTGAAAATTTAAAACAAGATTCCACGTAAGTAGTTTATTCTGTTACCAAAAAATCTAAAAATACATAAGCAAATTTTATTTTTATAGTCATTTGAAGTTCAAATTTGGACGAAATTACATAATAAAAAACCTAGAATAACTATTTTAGTTATTTTGTAGTGAGTGTATAATATTATTCGTGGGTACTTGCAACTTCTAAAGTACACTATCATATATCTATGATAGTATCAGGGTTTGTTGTTTATATATAACGCGTTATAAGTACCTAATGAGTAATGGATATTGTGATATGATTAATTTATGATATGAATATGATTAATTCTCAAACTTTATAATATGTCAAAAAAAATACAAGATAAAAAACATTGTTTTACAATTTTTTTAATACAACTATTTGAAATAAAATACAAAATCAGAGATAAATTTGGGTTGTAGGAAGTGTTCTTCTTTCAGATAAAAAAAATAGTCATCAAAATCCAACAATTCTACTAAGCTCGAGAGTTATTAACGCAAAGTCATTTTTTTCAATATAATACACCTTATCAGACCCCCCCCCCCTAATTAGGTATAGGGTAGTAGATTAATGGAAAAGTCTTATAATTGAGGTGGAAACTAAAATATAAAATTTAATTTTCAAATTTTATAGAATTGTGGAAAATTTGAATAACTGCACAATAATACTAACATCTAATCTATCACCTAACTGTAACATCTAATATAATATCTACAAGTAAAACTTGTAAAAATGACTCCTAATTATTATTATTATTAATATTTAAAATTCTTATAGGTATATATTATATTTCCCAGTTTAACATCAAATATATTTTCAATTAGGTAATGAAGGAAAAACTATAAAAAAAGTTTCTAGTGTTTACTTACCTAAAATTACCATGTGTTTAACAACTGACAATTTACATACAATAAGCATTTGAAAAAAATTAATTTAATTTGCACCAGAATACTCCCTAAATGGTATAAAAATGTTTGTATTTGAAATATAGTCCTAAAGCATACTTAAAAGTTCCTAGTATCATAATTTCAATAAATGCCCTTAACTACTAAAGGATAATGAAGGAGATTGATCATATTTGATGTATCACACTGTCTACAGATTGGATAATAGTATTTGTCCGTGTTCAATATTTTACTATGCAATACAAAATTTACTCATACTTATACGTCCACATCTAAACATCTTTTCTAAAATGTACAACTATGAAATATATACAAGTGGCTTTTAGTAAGTACCTTAACCTACCTTAAATCTTGTCAAAAAACTTTGATTATTGATCAATATGATCTAATATGATAAGTATCTTATAAACATTACAACAATTATGCAAACCAGGTACAATTTTAAACGATTTATAAATTATTTTAAGAATTAGATGCGTTTGTATAGACCAACTTATTATTTTTATAAAGGTACCTATTTTAACTAAATGCTTAAGTGATGAGTGATGACTAAAGAATAATGATTAAAATATTTTAATGAATTCTTCTTTATTACACAATTTATCATTTTAACAAAATCATTGATAACATTTAATTTAAAAAATACATTGAATAAAAGAAACAAGTAAACTATTGTACCTACTCATGAACTTTAAAACTCCACATTTGATTGTAATCCATCATTGATAATTATAATATTTACAAATCAATAGCAATATATTATATATTTACTTATTTTTTATTTTAATCAGCAATACAATGTTAACAAACAAATTTTACATTTTAAATGAATATTAAAGTTTAACAAATTTAAATAGCTACTTGTACCTTAATAAAAATTCTAAAAACTCAGTTTTACGGATTTGGATATTTTTTCAGAAGATAATTGATTTCTCTGGGAGTAAGATTATCTTTCCCAGTAGAAATTCTTCCTTCTTGCATGTCTTGTTTTCTTTTAAACTTGTCAGCGTAATTTTTAGTTGCACATGCTTGAAACTTGGTAATTTCATCTGAACAACGAGCTTGGTCAAATTCATTTTTTTTGAAGCAGGCAAACATAATAGATATTTCATGAACACATGCACGTTCTTTGGACCTATCCCCTTTACCAGATACTTTTTCTTTCAATTTAAGCGGCAACAGTTCTTCGAATTTAACTTCGAGTGGATTTTTTGTGTATCGACGCATATCGCGAAAATTCAAAACATTGTTTAAACGCATAATGAATTTATTCGTTAATACTTAAATACTTTAGTGTTTGATCATTTAAGTAATTTAAATCACAGCCCGCACTACCTCAGTGACTATTTACACATCGACGAAAAACTAATAACTAATAACTATATTGTACATAATATTTTCAATTTTTCACGACCTACGGGTTACGGTACAATTCTGAATTCAGTCCTCATGATACCGGATGCCCTATGGGGTCGTGATAATAATGATAATAATTGATAAGTGCTTCAAGACGTGATAAGTGCTATCATAGATTTTATATGGGATAATTGCGCATTCGGTAATGGCACAGAACGTAATGGGTAATGCAATTCTGTAATTATTGAAGGAAATCTTAGATCATATATGATCTAAAATGGAAATACAGTATGCCATGACATATTAGATGGGTATCATCACGGTATTTTTGTCCTATGATTTTGATACGCATCCTCCGCTAATTACATACCAACATTAATTCCTGCGTGAATTTAAATAACATAATTTTTCATTAAGCATAGGTCCTAAAATGTTTTAATTAGTGTAATAATTAGTTATAACTTATAATCTGTACTATTACTACATATTATATTGAGCAGGATACTATAAAATTTATTATGTCTAGTATGAATACGTTGTTTTTGTTGTAATAGATGTATTTATAATTTGTATAGATGCCGGTTTTTACTTTTTAAATAACGCGCGCAAAAAGAACTGGTATAGTCGTATAATAAGTAGGTACTTATAGTTTATAGGTTTATGCAGTGGCGTAAATTGGGTCCAATTTCTGGTGGTGCAGAGGCATATTATCAACCTATAATTTCCAACACAAAAATAATCCAACTTTCTAAGTAAAATCCTTCCTAACAAAAAAAAACTATATATTTATCCATACATTTTGTCAACATTTGAACTTCAAATGCTTATAAAAAAAAATTGTGGCTATGTATTTTTAATATTTTTCAACGCTATTGTAACAATATATCAGGAGCCTTTCATTAAATTTTCACGCTTTTTACCCAACAAATAAAATTTTATTGATATTTATAGAAAAAAAAACTAAAAAAATTAAAAAATGACAATGTCCGGAAACAGCTCAAAGAGAGTTAAAATATTTTCAAAACTTTGTGGTGTATAGAAAATTAAAATATAAATATATAAATTTTCATGTATTTACAGTTATTTGTTTGAATAACAACAAATTAACAAAATCGCTACATGAGAAATCTAGTGAATATCCAATCTTGTAAAAATATGATTTTCAAACGCTCATAAAAATTTAATTTGATTTACTTGTGGACATTTTTTTTTTTTGATAAAGGCGTATACAAACTTATGAATAATCTTGTATTACATTTTAAAATCTTAGATTTGAAAAGAAACATTTTTATGATTTTTTCAACTCAAATTATATTGTTAATTTTCGTGATTTTTCTGTATTTTGTCAAGATTTGAACTTTAAATGCTTATAAAAAAAACTGTGACTAAGGATTTTTAATAATTTTCTAATGTCATTGTAACAATATAGTTGGAGCCTTTTATTAAATTTCCAAGCTTTTTTACCCAACCAGTGAATATTTCAATTATATATGTAAATGTTCATTTGTTTGGTCAAAAACCAAAATTGATTTTGTCGAAAACCGATTTCGGGTAAAAATTCCTGTTTTTCCTTAATTTTTATGTTGTTTTTCCTGGCGCTTATGAAACCTGAAGAGAATTTTAAAATTTGATTCAATACGACGTCTAGCTATCATCTGACATTTGACTTTTGAGAATTGAATGAACATTGATCCAGTGATAACACACTATTTTGGCGGTAGAATGTTGATAGCAATATAATTTTACCATATTATACCACAGAATAATTATACGTCTATTCTGTGCACGATTAAAGATATAATATCTTTAATCGTGATTCTGTGATACTGCCATAATAAAATACAAAATTCTGTGGATAGTGGTTACCATAGATAATAATCTAACTATTTATGGGGGTTGTACGATATTTTAGAATATAGATAGGCCAGATAGGGTAATAATTTAAATGATAATGTCTAATACATGCACTAAAATAACTATTTTGTACCTCTTTATATATTATATATTTCAATGATTTTCTGGTGGTGCATAAACATACCTTTGCACCACCACATTTTAGATGTGGTGGTGCAAGTGCTGCATTTGCACCACCCAGTTTACGCCACTGGGTTTATGAGAACTAGCCCTTACTGCTGCAGCTCAATTTCCTAGTTAAATAGAGCTGTCAGATACGATGTAGAATGAAGGGGATGTGGGAAAACTTCCACTTCAACTCTGGGATGTGGGGACATGGCACATTAGCACAGTGGCCCAGTAGTTTGTACGATAAAACACTCAACGATTTCGTTTTGATAATTATTACGACATAACAATTACACAACAGCGGAGAGAATAGTCGCGGGTCTTAAAAATACAAAATATATTTTGATGTGTATCCGATATGAGCATCCGACCACGGTTGTGGTACGCCGATACATATATATAATAATATAATCTTACTCGCATATTTACCAGTTACCACAATATATGTGGTATAATTGTACACATAAATAAAATACCTAGGTATATTACCAACACCAATTTGGCTTCATCGCGATTAGCGGTTATTCTATACGCGATCGGATAGTAATGCGTTTTCAACTTCAAAACCTCGATTTGGATAAAATATACTCTTGCCGCCCCTAACATAATATTATTATCAATGTTTTGAAAATGTTGCCCTTTTACTAAAGTGCCGCAATAGGCGTGGGCCTATGTCACCTACCCCTTGAGCCGGGAATGAATATACCTACTGTATATTGTATAATATATATATTATATACGGACAATACGGTATTACGATGTGCAACCACAGACATAATATTCAGAAATAGGTCTGTGTGTGCAACAGCATCGTCTATGTTCCTACTTACCCGACCTCTCACAGTGGTCTAAAACTCTATTTAAGGAGCACAAAAGTTCCATTTCTAAAAAAATAAAAATAAATAAATTTGAAAACTCTATTAGCATAAGTATCTTAAGTCAAATATAAAATGTCATAGCCATACGTTTTTTTTAACTAGCTTATAAGTATATCAAAATGGAAATTATAAGTCTTATGACGTTTTTTCGTTATTTTTAATGAAACTATATAATTTTTTTTATGAGGAAAATACAATGTTTTTTGAATTTCGAATTTTTATTATTTTTATTGTGTATTAATGATATTAGGAAGATTAATATATATATCTATATATATATCTATATATATATAAAAATTAATTGGCTGTTCGTTTGCCAGAGGGCCAGACCGATTTGGCTCAAATTTTTTTTAAGATGTTCGTAATTGCCCAGAGAAGATTGGAACCAAACACGTCCGACGTAATTAAGGGAAGGATGAGGGGGATAGATCCCCCCCAGAGCCTTCATAATATTATATATTATACTATATACTCACCAATGACCAATGTACATGAAAATTTAATACTTTATGTAAAAAAAAATGTATGTCCCCCACAGGACAAATTCCTAATTACGCCACTGATTGGAACGAAAGAAAATTTTAGGAAAATCCACCGGAAAAGTAAAAAATTTGAATGTCATAAAATACAATAGTATCTGTCCAGAAAAAAATTAACTAAATAATAAAAAAATTAGTTTCAGATTAAAATAATAATAGTGTATTTTATATTGGTTGCTATTGGTTAATCGGGCATGTTTGTTGATTTAAAAAGTTTAAAAATGGTTAAATTTGGTTTTAGATTCTGAGCGGAGCGATGAATGTATTGGTTTTACAATGATGTATGTTTTTATATTTTAGATTCTGAGCGGAGCGATGAATGTATTGGTTTTACAATGATGTATGTTTTTATATTTTTATTTATATTTTTTTTTATTTATATTTTTGTGTCTGTCATCACGTTTTAGGACAGTAAAAGTGCTTCGATTTTCTTCAATAGTACCTTTTCTGATAGGAAAGTGAATCTAGTTGGTACTTTGGAGGGATCAAAAGTAAACATTTCCCAGTAGTTTTCACAAGCGCCGGGAAAAACAACATAAAAATTAAGGAAAAACGGGAATTTTTACGCAAAATTGGTTTTCCAAAAAATCGATTTTGGTTATTGGTGTAACTCTAAAACAAATGAACGTATATACATGAAATTTTCACTGGTTGTTAATATTTGCATTTTCTATACACGATAACATTTTCAAAATATTTTGATTTATTTTGAACTGTTTAGGGACATTTTCATTTTCCATTTTTTTTTAGTTTTTTTTCTAAAAATATCAATAAAATTTTATTTGTTGGTTGCGAAAGCTTGAAAATTTAATAGAAGGCTCCTAATATGTTGTTTCAAAGGCAGATGAAAAATATTAAAAATCCTTAGTCACAATTTTTTTTTATAAGCATTTAAAGTTCAAAAATTGACAAAATATGGAAAAATCACGAAAATTAGCAAATTATTTTGAGTTAAGAATTCGTAAAAATTTTTCTTTTTAAATCTAAGATTTGAAAATGAAACACAAGATTCCTTATAAGATTATCTACCTTTATCAATAAAAAAATCTCTACCGGACAGTCAAATTAAATTTTTTTTGAGCGTTTGAAATTCAAATTTTTACAACATTGGATTTTCACTCGATTTCTCATGTAGCGATTTCCTTATTTTGTTGTAATTCAAAAACGAATAACTGTAGATACATGAAAATTTCACTGAATGTTTATATTAGCATTTCCTATACACCATACAATTTTGAAAATATTTTGACTCTTTTTGAGCTGTTTATGGACATTTACAGCTTTCAATTTTTTTAGTTTTTTTTTTCTATAAATATCAATAAAGTTTTATCTGTAGGGCCAAAAAGTGTAAAAATTTAATACAAGGCTCCTGATATATTGTTACAATATCAGTTGAAAAATATTAAAAATACATAGGCACAGTTTTTTTTATAAGCATTTAAAGATCAAATTTTGACAAAATTTA